TATAGGCACCAAAGCTGAGCAGGTAAGTTCTTACCTAAGCAGCCCAGTGGGAATTGGTCACCTGTGGATTCAGGTCCTGGCCCTATGCAAGGGCCTCACTCAACCCTAGTTTACAGTGCCAAACAGGTCGGGAATGAGTGGATTGAGAGCTTAGGGTCACTGAGGATGAAATGGGGGCTCCATGCCAAGCAGTTAGCTGTGGCCTTGGCCCCATGAAGACCTGCTGTAGAGGCTGTGATAATTCTGATGGATGATCTTCCATCCCACCCAGTGATCAACACTTGGTGGATGCAGTTCTGTTCATCAGAAAGGAGATTGGAGAGTCACTCCGTGACAGGAAATCTTGAGAATGGCAAATTGTCCATGGCTGTCAGACAGATAGGAAGAGCAGATAGGTGTTACCATCCCACAATTGTATATGAAGACACACTGTGTGCAAGCACGTTTCTGGATATTAACCAAGATTCTGTAAGCAGTCAGTGGAACCACTGCCCTTTTGAGTTTCAATGTTTGTGGGAGGCCACAGAGTAACCCTTGGCAGCAGAACAGACATTGCTCACCTCAAAGCCATTGTTCCAGTCTCCAGGCCTCCCTAGTTGTGTGTACAAACCATGCACAAGGAGTTATACAGGGGCAAAGAGAACTGGGCAATGCATCACTGCCTGAGCTAGAGACTGCAGAGATGCAGGACAGACACTGATTGATCCCTCACTTCTCAGATATTTATGGAGTGGCAGCCCTGAGCCTTTGAGTGCAAAGACAGGGCAGATTGCAGTCTCTACTTTCTCCAAGCTGACTTTCACTGGGGAGGGGCAGGGAGATACTGTGGCAGGATTCCCTGAAGAATGTAGATATATGATAAAACTAAGCAAGGTCTCTCTCCCAATGAGACTTCTTTCAGCCATTAAGGGCCCCTTGGGCCCTCACTATCCAATTGTGGGTGGGTGAGGATGGGGCTGGACATTGTATCAAATGGGCAGGAGGTCCATGACCCCTCTCTACAAGTGAGATGTACAGGCATTGTGGGAGGAAAGCCCAGGTCTCTCACTCTGCTGGTTCCCTGTCTGCCCCAGTTCTTTTCTGTGCTTGAGGCCACATTGGAAGTATATGCCCATCTGGATCCCCAGACTGAGCTTCTCCTGGACTAGCTGGAGCCCCAGAGACTGAGCCACAGGGTAACTATCCCTGGAGTGTAGGATATAGGGTTGTGGGGAGGTGATGGCCTTGGAACTCAGCAAAGTACCCTGCTGGGTGACCCAGGAGTATGACACACTCAGCAGTCGGTGTGGGGATGCAGTCAGGAGGCTTTCCTTGGACTGTGTTGGTGCACAAGGCTGCCTCTGACAGGCAGTGGGAAGGTTTTGCCCAGGAAGTCCATGGAAAGTTGGCAATTTTTCATTTCCTGCAACTACAGGGCCAGGCTCATGCCATGCAGAAGTTGCACCTGCAGACCTTGTGCCAGCTCTACCTGCAGCTCTCTAATCAGCTGTGATCCCAGAGCAAGAGCCAGTACCTGGACTCCTTTGTCCAGCAGCTGAAGTTCTGAGCCTCCTGATGGCTGCACTCAGGAGTCATCTGTCAAGCTCTAACTGCAGGCAGCTCTTGACCCACACCTGCCATTCCCCTCTCTTCCGGATTTACTTACTATTGTTTTCACAGCTACACATATTTACCAGAGATACATTAGTGATAGAACAAATATAGGTAAAATTTAAGATTTTAGGGTTGTTTAAAATAATCAGCTTGCTGACATTCATTGCACTCTCAATGTTGAGCAAATTTCCCCAAGTCCACTTCCAGAATATATTCTTCAAATATTTACACAATGGTGTTTTCTTTTCTTTCCCCTCTTGCCCCATCCCAGCCACCAGTGATTGTATGTCCTCATTCTTAACCTATATTGCATTTCCCACATCAATGCCATAAAGTTTTCTTTGGCCAGGAATGTTGGTAGTGACTATCTTGGGTTAGAGTTAGGTTTAGAGGTAGGTTAGACTTAGGGTTAGGGTTGGACTAAGCTCCCAATTATTGCATCATTATCCACTGTATTTGTCATAAAGAAAGGACAATGGAGACAAAGCAGTGCCTTATGCTGGCAATATCTTGGCCCTGAGCTGTGTGCTGAATGCACAAAACTTTGAGAGCAGTCACTGGTGGTTGGATTGTACCACTGTGCAAAATATAGGGCCCAATATGCACTCTGTGTACCACATGTGCCCTGGTCCTAACACCAACATAATCAGTATACACTGTAAATATGTAGTAAGAAAAAATATACAGTTATCTGTAAACAAAACACAAAGCAAGAAAATCCACTTCTGACATGTGGGGGAAAAAAAGAGCTACTAATGAAAAATCTCACACAGGAAATACACGCTCTCCTTGGCCAGCAATGTTTCCTTTGCGCAAATGCAAATCTGTAGAACAAAGCATCATCTGTCCTCAGTCTGCATCCTTGCTAATGGAATTTTTGTGGCTAATCCTCCTATCATAGGAACATGCACTTTTATACTTTTCTCTATGCAAAACCTAATAGAGACACATAGAGGACTCACTGTGTGCTGGGTACCAGAGCTCTCCAGATGCAGATCACACTTGGGGAGACAATGAAACTCACACTGCCAATAGCTGGTGATGACAAAGTCACGGAAAGAAGGTGAAAACCAAACACAGGCAAATCTTCTGCAGGAACACTCAGTCTGGCTCACAAGTCCTGTATTTGTAACTCTGCTTAGACCCCTAATTTCTATCAAAATGATCAAAACTGCTGTCTCCTCTCTGGACTCAGGATGCAGGCTCAGAAGTGGGTCTAACAGTGACAGCTGGAGGTGCCCTGGCCCCTCTGTACAGCTGTCTTGGAGAAAGACTCTTGTCTTCCTCCACTTTCCTCCCTTGCCTCTCTCACTACATTTTGAAGGCTGAGCTGCTGCCCGGCAGTCTGGGTGGAGATGCTCAGCAGGGCCTTCAACATAGTTTTATCAGCATAGTTTTATATGTGACATACTGTGTCACATACACACAGCTTTCCAGTAAATGGTCTTGAGATAGAAAGATATAGTAAAAAGTGACAGCTAACTGGAATGAACCATGCTTTATACACAAAGGCCTCATATCACTGTGGAGGGAGAGGAAATATATTAGGTTCTTGCCCCACTCTGTGGCCTCTCAAAACTCAGCTGCCCCATTGCTGATCACACTGATTCCTGCCCCAACACACCACACTAGGCTAAATCCTCACCGACACCAAGACCAGAAAACGAGGTGTTTGCTTCTGGAGCCAATAGGCAGGAAAATGGGAACACAGTGGTGCCTGGCAACTAGATGGCCAGACAGAAAAAAGAGATGACAGTGGCCATGACCATCTTACCTGAGGGTCAGTCACTGATACAGAGGCATATTATGCACAGGTGAGGCTTGGGCCAACTCCTTTCCAGGTACTCTCCACTCTTGAAGGACCCAGAGACATACAAATAGCAGGGTGATGACACTGTCATGCCTTTATAACACAGTCATTTGGTTTGGGACAGAACAGAGATGGATGCTATCAGTTGGGAAGAATTTATCCCCAGACACTGTTGCGCTGGGACACCCTTATTTCCCTTCCTTCCAATGTGTGGTCCAGATCTCAGGGCCCTGCTTCTATGTGTGGTGCACATAGCCTTTGTTCCCTAGCCAGATCCAATTCTGCCCATCCCACAGGAGCCATTTCAAAGTTACTGTTTCTACTTGGATTGTGCCAGACAGAAGCATCTGCATTTGTCTCCCCACATATCCAGATATTCATGCATCACATGGTAAACCACAGATTAAGTCAGCTCCTTAGATGCTCCACAGATAGGGATTTCCAGACTGACCTTGAGACCTCAATTCTGAGCACCATGTTCTGAGCAGAACTTCTAGAGCTGGGAGCTAAAATTAGGGGCTCTTCAGTCATAAGCCCTGGACCAAGTGCAACACAGGCTGGACCGTTTGTCCTATGTGATAACCAATCAGCCATACTTGTGGGAACAGGATTCTCTCTCAGACAGAATGGGATGGGAGGGGCACAAAACAGCCCCTAGGCCAGCCAGCTTTGTACTTTTAGGAGGAGAATGGAATATAGCAGGAGGAAGGAGGGGTGCCTGAGGAATGAGGGAATGGAAGATGGAATAACAGTAGAAAAAGGCCCTGAGTTACTCATTGAGGGACACCTGATTTTGTTACCTACCATACCTTTTTTTTTTCATTTGTTTATCGGTACAAGGTATCGAACTCAGGACCACACACTTGCAAGGCAGGCGCTTATGCCGCTGAGCTAAATCCCCAGCCTCCACCCACCATACCTTCACCCACCAGCAGACAACAGTGACACTTGACTTTGGGCAGCTACACATACACTGCCTCCTCCTATGATTCCATTCAAAGGTCCAGGGAAGATTGGAGTGGGCAGTGGGGGCCTTGTGTAGACAAAGGTTTGTAGCAGAATGACAAAGACAGTGTGAGAGGATGTCCTGGGCATGTGGTAGTGGTACACACTCTGTGTTGCTCAACGTGGCTACTTGACACAGCCAGGGTCCAAATGCCTCCCTGACCCAACACCCTCAGGCATGGATCTCCATAGCTCATTCAAGAGTGCCATCCCAATATCTTGAAAGACACTGGGGTCCACACACATCAGAGAAGGGCTGCCCAAATCTATGGGCACCATAGCACCTGCTCCTGCCCTTGATTTGTGCTCTCCCTCATGGCATTCAACTACAACATGATGCCACATGTTAAGAACATGACTTGAAGAATACTTGGAGGGAGTCATGTTCAGCAGGGTTTGTGCTGGGGAAGGGATCTCCCTGCCAGCATTAGTGCTGTGCTTGGTTTTAACACATCATGACACATAGGAAAAGTGAGTCCCCATGGGTTCAGGGATCAAGGGAGGCTAAGATATGCTGCTAAGTAGCTCCACTCTGTGAGAGTGGGGCCAACAGAAACTATTGTCCTCAGCCTCCAGCCTGGGACTGACTCACCTCAGACCATGGTCCAGGCAGTCTGTTCAAGAACTACATGTCTGCTGCTTGGGGAGCTGCGTTCCAGGTCCACGTCAGAACATTTGAGAACTTTCATGCCCTGTGGGGTACAGAAGAGGAATGGAAGTGGGGAAAATGTCCATCACAGGGATTAGGAAGTGATCACCATGGCACAGGTATATAACTTGTTGTCCTTTCTAAAGCTGTACCCCAACAGAGATTTTGGCTTTAGGATATGATGCATGGCTTGGAACAAGGCACAGAGACTTTAGTTTTGTGGGGCATTAAAGTGCCCTGTGTCTGCAGCATGAAATTTTCTCAGAGTTAGGGAGGTGAATTGGTATTTTAGTGGGTAAGATCCCCAGAGAGAAGAAACCACATGGAGCCAACATTAGCAACAGCAGTAAGCAAGCATCTATATTATCCAGCCTGTATATATCAGCCATCATCAAGCATTACATTCTTGCATAGTGTCACAAGCCTGAGCACATCCATGGCTGTCTATGTTAACTCATGCTTATATAACTATGTCCATGGTGTGCACATGCTAATTGGTTGGGTCAGATCCCATAGGTCCTCATACCTTTTGGTGTTGAAGCAGTGTGCAGTGGTTTCTCATATTCCACCACCTCAAAGATCAGGGAAAATGTGTTTATTGTAAGTGACCTATAGGGTGGTCTCATGCACACAAAGAGCATGACAACAATAAATGTAAAGAATAATACCACTAATCATGCCACAGTTCAGCTTATGGCCACCCAGAGCCAGGTGGATCCCAAGGACTCCCACCACTGCACGAGCAGGTCCTGTTGCAAGGCATCAAGGACACAAAACTCCATGTCCATTTCTTTTAAATTTTTTTCAATTTAAAGATAGAAAATAAAATTAAAAGAAACAAAATACAAAAAAGCAAAGAAGTGTAGAGTATAGAATTCAAAAAAATTAACTCCTAAAATTACTAGTTGATACATTACATATTCTCATCTTAAAAACAGTTGTTAAAGTTACAAAAACAAAGCATAAAAAGTCACTAAATACTGAAACATTGATGGGCAAACACTTCCTTTCAGTGATCTAACAGAAATTTAGTAATATGGTCATCTATCTTTCATACTATACATATCATTATATCATTTAGAGCCCGTTTCTTTGCTTTTGCTTTACTTGTATATACTTGCTTACAATATATACTATAATTTTTTGGATCCCAATTCTTTGTCAGTTTTTTATTATTTTTTACACTAGAGACACAATGAGAGAGGATATTCTTAAGTGACTTTCATTTACTTATAAAGGCCTCAAATCATCCTTTTCTATAGCTGAGTAGTATTCGATTGTGAAAAAATACAATTTTTTCATCCACTTGTGGTTGACAGCATTTTGTTGTTTCCAAGATTTAGCTATCACAACTGGGTTGCACATATCATTGCACATATATCACTGTGAAATATTTTTTTTCAAATTTCTGGGAAAATACCCATAAGGGGAATAGCTGGATTGAATGGAACATCCAATCTTAGTTTTTTGAGGAATTTCCACACTAATTTGCACAGTGCTTTTATCAGTCTGCATTCCCACCAACAGTGGACAAGTGTTCCTTTTTCCTTTCATGCTGCCAAAATTTGTTTCAGTTGATTTCTTGATGTCATTCTTTCCAGAGTAAGATGAAATCTTAGTGCTGTCTTAATTTGCATTTATTAAATCACCAATGATGGTGAACATTTCTTTATGCATTTATTTGCCATTTGTATATCTTCATCTGAGAACTGTGTACTTACCTCTGATGCCCATTTTTGGAAATGATCTTTGAATTTGAGGGCTTGACATTTTTCAATTTTTTATATGTTCTGCATACAAGTCCTTTGTCATCTATCCAGATTCTTTTTGACTCTGTGGGGGTTTTTTGACTTTATTTGATTTCTGTTTACGTACAAAAACTTTTTAGTAATATGAGATCAAAGTTGTTGATTCTTTGAAGTATTTTCCATGTAGTTGTGTTTTATTAATGAATTCTCTGCCTATTCCTATGTCTCCAAAATTTCTATCTACCATGTCTTCCAGTAGATTTTTGTTTCTTTTTCAATATTCAGATACTTGAACCACTTTGACTTTAGTTTAGTGTATGGTGATAGGTATGGGTCTAGTTTCAGTCTTTAGCATGTAATGTCAATTTTTCTAACACCATTTTTAAAAGAGGCTATCCTTTTCCAGTGAATATTTTTAGCCCCTTTGACAAATTTAAGGTGGCTCTGTATCTTTGTAGTAGTGTTTTCATCTTCTAATCAGTTCTATTGATCCTCAGGTCTATTTCTTTGCCAGTACCATGCTGATTTTATTATTGTGGCTTTGTAGTATAGTTTCAAGTCAGGAATTGAGATGAGTCTTGTCTTTCTGTTGTTGCCCAGAAATGCTTTTGTTATTCTAGATTTCTTCTGTTAACAGATGAATTTCAGAATTATTTTCTCTAGATATGAAGTATGTTAATGATATTTTGATTGGGATTGCATTGAAATGTATAACAGTTTTGTAAGTATGGCCATTTTCACAATATTGGCTCTTCCTAACCAAGAGGAAGAAATATCCTTCCATTTTCCAATTTCCTCTTGAATCGCCATTTTCAGAGTTGTATAATTTTCAGCATATAGGTGTTTTACAATTTTAGTTAGGTTGATTCCTAAGTATTTCATTTTTTTAGATGCTATTGTGAAAGCTGATATTTCATAATTTTTCTCTCATGGAGTGTTTTGTTTGTGTACAGGGATGTTATTGATTTGTGAGTGTTGACTTTCTATCCAGCTATGCTGCTGAATTTGTTTTTTGCCTCTAGTAGTCTTTCAATTGAGATTTTGGGGTCTTCTATGTAGAGTATCATGTTGTCGGCAAATAATGATAATTTAACTTCTTTCCCTATTTTTATTCCTTTTATTTCTCCCTCTTGTCTGATTGCTCTTGCTAATATTTCCAGAACTCTATTGACTCGGAGTGGTAGTGGACATCATTGTCTTGTTCCTGTTTTTAGTGTGAAGGCTTTCAGTTTTTGTCTATTTAGTATAACATTGGTTGTATGTTTGTAATAAATGGTCTTTAGACTTTGAGGTACATAGCGTCTATTCTGAGTTACTGTAGGGTTTTTATCATGAACAGGTGTTGTATGTTATCAATAGCTTTTTCTGCATGCATTGCAATGCTTAGGCGATTTTTTATTTTTGGCTCTGTTGATGTGGTGTATCACATTCATTGATTTGTGCATATTAAACCATTCCTGCATTCCTGGAATAAATGCTACTTGGTTATGTTGTATTATCTTCTTGATGATTTGCTGCATTCTATTTGCCTATATTGTATCGAGAATCTTTGCATCATTGTTCATTAGTAAAATTAGTCTATAGTTCTGCTATTTAGTTTGATCTCTCTCTGGTTTTGTAATCAGAATGACACTTGGTTCTAAGAATGAGTTAGGGAGAACTAATTCTCTTTTAATTTCATTGAAGAATTTAAGGAGTGTTGCAGTCAGATCTCTGAAATTCTTATGGAATTCATCCCTGAATCCAGCAGGATCTGGGCTTTTATTGTTGGTAAGTTTTTAATCACATTTTTGATTAATGTAGCCGATATTTGGTTACTCAAAATTGTTATATATTTTGATTGAGCATTGGTAGTTCATATTTCTACAAATCTATTTCCTCTGTTTTGCACCGGATGTGAGTAGAGATTTTCAAGGTAGATGTTCATGATGTTTTGAATTTCCATGGGATCTACAGTAATTTTTCTCTTTTCAGTCCATATTCTGTGGATTTTTTTTTCTTGATAAGCTTGGCTTGAGGTTTATCAATTTTATTTTCTCAAAAAAACAGCTCTTTGATTCATTAATTCTTTGTAAATATTTTGGTTTCAATTTCATTAAGTTCTGCTCTAATCTTTATAATTTCCACTCTTCTATGAACTTTGGGTTTGACTTGCTCTTCCTTTTCTAGAAGCTTGAGATATAGCATTAGGTTTTTTATTTGTGTTCATTCCATTTTCTTGATGTGACTACTTATTACTGTATATTTCCCACTTAGGACTGCTTTCATTGTGTCCCATAGGTTGTGGTATGTTGTTTATGCATTTTCATTGTATTATAGACATTGTTTTATTTCTTCTTTAATTTCATCTGTAATCCACTGGTTGTTCAGGATTGTTATTTAATTTCCATGTATTTATGCAGGTTTTTCCGGGATTTTTGCCATTGATCTCCAATTTTAGTGCAATATGGTCCCGTAATACGCATGAGAAAATTTCGTTCCATTTACATTTACTTAAAAATGTTTTATGGGATAATATATGGTCTATTTTGTAGAATATCCCATGTGCAGCTGAGAAGAATGTATGTTCTGATATGGTTGGGTGGAATACTATGTAAACATCCACTAAGTCAATCCATGCACAGGTATCATTTAGTTAGGTCATTTCTTTGCTGACTTTTTGTCTAAGTTGATCTATCTCTTTGTGACAGTGGGTTGTTAAGGTCTCCTATTACAATTGTGTTCTTGTGTGTTTAGCTTTTCATGCCCATTAGAATTTGTCTAACATAGTTGGGTCCTCCTGTATTTGGTGCATATATATTTATAATTGTTAGTTCTTCCTCTTGTAGTTATACATGTAAAAGTTTGTAGTGGCCTTCGTATCTCTTTTAATCATTTTATGTTTGAACTTCACATTGTCTGCAAACTGAATAGCTACCCCTGCTCTTTCCTGGGTTCCTGGTTAATGGAAACTCATTTCCATGCTGTGACTTTTAATCTGAGTTTCTTTTTGAGTCAGATGTGTTTCTTGTATAAAACATACTCCGTGATCCTATTTGTTGATGCATTCTGTCAACCTGTTTCTTTTGATAGGTGAGTTGAGTCCATTTACATTTATGGATATCACTAATATATACTGCTTTGACTTTGCCATATTGTGTTCCTGTTGTTGGTTTCCTGCTTTTCTCCATTATTTAGTATTTTGTCCAGCCTGGTGGTTTCTTTCTGTTGTTCTGGAGATTGTGGTCATGTTTACTGCTATCTTGCATATCTTTCAGTATTCTTTCTAGGGTTGGTTTCATGGACATGAATTGAT